TCTACAATTGTCTTCATTGTATGTAATGTTTAATTGAATGTTAATAAATGGACTCGCACGATTGTACAGACTAAATGAAGCTAAATTTAGTCGATTACTCGTACTAGGTTACTCAGGGTTTTTTTGCTGATATATACAGGAATCCTTGTTACGTTTCTTTCAAATTTTTAATCTATTCGCTTTAAATTTAACAGTCTGAAGATGGAAATAGCGATCACAATTGTGATGTGTTATTGTTAAAAAGGCGATCGAATAATTTAGTACACGGTTTCATACAAAATAAACTCTAAAAATTTAAAGATACTGTTCTACTTCTTCTCTCGTTGATGTCCATAATATCAATCACCGGCGGCCAAAGGGTTAAAACATGTGTTTACCTTATTAGTGTATGTATTTGGAGTAATACAGTAATTGTAATAGTGAATTAATATTTGAATCGAACGAGTGTGATGTTATTCTGTTCCTTTCTTTCTTTTGAGTAATAAGTGTCGGCATTATTTTTAATGATTTTTTTGTTATGTGCTTAAAAAAGTAATGACTTTATATAATTTTTCTAAATAAAACGTTAATCTTTATTACAAATCGGAGATTCAATAATGTAGATCATTCTTATCTGAAACATCGGGGTCTCAGCGTCCCTCGATTAAGCTGATACACTGACCCTTTAACCGTCATCACAAATCGCTCTGAGCTTACAAAACGATGTGGCCTAGTTAACTAAAATAATCGACTCCCTCCCAAAGACTCGAACGCGCGTACAAATATTTACATTACACTAATTTGGGTTAATCGACGCCCAGAGTGTGTACTATTTCATAGTAAATCTGCTTCGCGTTATATGAATAGTTTAATTAATGATTAAATGAAATCGTACTGTCTGTGGGTTCGAATATTTGCGACAAACGTTTGTGTAACAAATGCTTATTTTTAGGGTTCCGTACCTCGTAGGAAAAAATCGGTACCCTTATAGGATTACTTTTTGTCCGTCCGTCTGTCTGTCACGACCCTTTTTCTCAAAAACGCGTGAAGGTATCAAGCTGGAATTTATTTTATAATTTACTATGAAATATTTGAAAAATTTGGTTAAATGGACGGAGTCGTGGGCAACAGCTAGTATTGTTATATAGGCCAAATCAGTTTACACTAAGCTTTTTAAATTACACTGAGGATTTATGTTGTATAAAGTTGTCTTCAATTTGTGGGTTAGTACGATAAATTTTGTTTTAACTAAACGAATAACAAATTTCCTTAATCTTGAGTTTGTTCTACTAACTTCATTTTCATAATATTTTATCGATCAGTATAACGTATGTTTCCACTGCTGAAACAAGTATTGAAACATTGTTTTTGTAGAGCTTAAGTAGGTTGAGATGTTTATTCAGTTTTAAAAGTTTTTGTCTGTCTTTATTTGTATACCTATCCGCATGGCCGCGTTTGTTCCTGGTAATCGTTGAAACTTGTCGATCGATTTTGACAGGATTTTGACGAGAAGGTAGCTGAGCTGATCCATGCGATCATGTTATAAGCTACCTCTTTACTTCAGCTATGACGAAGTTGCGGGCGACAACTAGTTTATAATAATAATAATAAAGCCATTTATTTCCTTACAGAAAAATCATACAATAAAATTTATAATGTAACTACTTTTTTTTTTTAACTATGTAGGAACCCCTGTTCGGGTAAAGGCCTCCTCCAAAGATGCCCAATTTTCTCTATCTTGAGCCACGTGTGTCCAGGTAGTGCCGCCTACTTTCTTTATTTCATCATCCCATCGTGTAATCGGTCTTCCTATTCCTCTTCTTCCTTGCGGTCCCTACCATAAAGTTGTTCTAACTGTCCATCTCTGATCTTTTAGTCTTGCAACGTGACCCGCCCATTTCCACTTTTGTTTTAGTGCGAAACTCAAAGCGTTATTATACTTACACAAATATTATTATACCTTTATTACTTTTTATCTTTACTGCAATCTATTGTACTACAAAATATATTCATACAATATCATACGATCTTGGTTTATAACACGACCACTTCGTTCCCATCACCGCACGCTCCGCTAGCCAGTGTAGTGATCGAGCGCATGAAAATGATATATTGTGGTGTTAAAATTGTTTCTGTCGGTTAATTGGACTTCGTACACGACCGACTCGTAAAATTGCCCTATGAATGGAGAAAGTTATTAGTCTTGATATGAACGTGATTTGAGCAGTGATGCCTAAACTTTCAGAGAAAACTAAATAAATATAAAATGCTAAATGAATCATAACCTAACAAGGCTAAATAATACTAAAAACTAACAAAAAGGGCCTTTAGCTTTTTATATTATACTCATTAATCAAAACTATTTTGTCCCCTTCTCCCGAAAAAAAAAACTGGAATTTTTAATATAATTTTTTTCATTTTTAAGTTAGAAATGATGTATTAGAATGGTGCTAAAATGAGATAAAACTAGCAGACTTGGTCCTCTCGGTGTTAAATTAAATTAGTCAGCCGTCTAAGTCGGTCCACTAGTTGCGGAGCCTAAAACATAAACTACAGTCAAATCTTTTCATAGATAAAAGCTATCGTACTGTAGAGTTGTACGTAAAGTTCAGTAATGACTCTTTAAAAAAAATGTACCATGAAATGCATAAACAAATAGATCATAAAAGTTAAAATATTATAGTGGAAAAAGTTTGAGAACCGCTGGTTTTAATTCAGAGATGATTTGATAACCGGATATGTGCGTTTCGGTTGCACGATTCGTTTACAATAATTTGTATTGAAACAATAAACAATTATAACCTACATTTAAACATTAATGATTGTGTTATGTTTTGTTTTACTCTTTGCTAACGAACTATTATATAATAAAAGATGAAATTATTCAAACTTTCGTGAGACATTATACTAAACTGATATAAAAAAACGGCTAAACACTCACGTATATACGTCCGATGGCGGTACCGACTAGTTTCGGGCCCATCGGGAGACCTTCATCAGGATGAGTGGTACTGGTATTATTTCGCGGACGCGGCCCCTCCGTCACTGAATAATTTGAATAATTTAATTAAGAAAACATTCGTTTATTGTGTTTGTTTAATGCAGTATTATCATCGTGCGGCAAAACTAACTATATATTTAAGCGCTCATCCTTGTTGATCAAAACACCCCGAGTTAGGAACTGACGACAGATTTATGGAATATAAAGCTTACCGCTCTGATATAAAGTGTCACTAATCTGTTTGTATTTTGTAAACTTGTGATGTAATGTGAAACAAACAAGTTATTTGTGTATCTTGTTAATATAATATAGTGTTAGCTGAAGGTGGAATTTAAAGAATAATGGTGGGTTGATGCCACTATAAGAGAACGCACCCTCATTTCAAGACACTCGCCACCAAACACTGAAGCCAGCGGAAGCTCTGCCCGTTTGATTTGCCAAAATAATTAATCATTTGAACTCTGATATTTGATAAAGTTAATGTTATATTTTAAAATAATTTAAGTGTTAATTCAATTTAATCAATTTTGTTAGTTTTGTTATTAAATCAGAAAAGTACTATAGTAGTGTATAAGAGATTGCTTTTTTTTAATTTTCCCTGCTTCTGTTCCCTAAGAATAGATAATAATATATATTAACGGGCTATAGCTAGCTGTTGCTCGCGACTTCGACCACGTGGAATAAAATTAAGTAGCTTTTTCGCTATAACAAACTGTTTCTTTTGCATTATAAGGCGATAAATGAGCAAGCGGTCACCAGGATTCGCCGAAATGGCGAAGCGACCGCTGCCCATGGTCATCCACAATTGCATATGTTATATATCTTTAATCGACGGAGGGGGAGAAGCACAGAAAGAGTATAATTTACCTTACTACGTGTTCCCTCCACTAAATCCACATCCCCTGCAGTGGTACAAATTTAAATCAAGATCTATTTAGCCGTTGCCTGGCAACAAACCTCCATATATACATCCATCCAAACATTAAAAAATTACTAGTTTTAGACATTATTAATTTGAATCCTTTGGCGCGAATGGCGCGCTTTCGTTACCAAGTCAAATGTCAGAATGCTTAGTGAGGGGACATAGACGTCGACATTATAGTAAGGCTAACAGTACACCGGCACAGTTTCGGATTTTCTTCCTAAGAACTAGTACGTAACGTATTATTTACGTAGTATCGTGTTATTTCATACTTATTCTAGTTTTATAAGCAAAACAGGAGATCACAGGGCCTAAAGTCTACTAATACTGTATCTTCCCCTTTTTCCATAAAATCTCAAGTTCATCATGAAACAATTATTTCTTTTGTTGGTACTTCATTTAGTGACTTTAGGTAGCACCCATGTTCCATATATTTAATTCCAATTACACGCGTTTAAAAAGTTATTTAGCGCACGTTAAAGCTTGTCGTAAAGTTTAATATATTTTAATTAGGTAAAGTAAACACATAAAACAAGACCGACGATGTTAAAATACAGATTGTTAAATTGGCAAACGCAGCGGGTCGCGGTTGCGTGTCTCCTGTGTGGTCTGGACTTTATGGAAGTTTTATAGCATAATGTTTGTTAGGTAGAACTCTGCATGCATTGTCCTTTGTCTCGATGTATCTGTTAATAAAACTTGGATTAAAAAAAATACTTGTTACACGTTGAAAGTTATTTAAAACTAGCTGTCGCCCGCGAATCCGTCCGCGTGAATATATAATAAAACTAAATTAGTGTAGCCTATGTGTTCTTTCAAACTATGTTCTATACGTATGCCAAATTTAACCTGATAAGTTCAGTCGTTCTAGATATATCTACAAACATCCATCCATCCATCCACATCACATCCATCTAAATATTCGCATTTATAATATTAGTAAGTTGAATAAAAAGCAGCTCTTCAAGGCATAAATTCGAAAAAAAAATTAAAAAGTATCCTATGTCCGTCTCCTGGCTCTATGCAACCTCCTCACCAATTTTCAGCCATATCGGTAAAGCCGTTCTTGAGTTATAAATAGTGTAACTAACACGACTTTCTTTTATATATATAGAAGATGTATAGATCAAGCCTTTGTGTTATTCAAAGTTTTAACTAAGGACTCAGTATGATGCAAATAAAGATGGCAGGTTTAGTAAAAAACAAAACAATTTTTATTTACATTTTTTATTGGTAGTGTTTAAATTACAGGTCAAGGAGCGATTTACAAAAAAAAATTCACTGAAAAAATTCATCATACGAATACAGAACCCTCTCAACAAGCACTGATTTCAATCTTTTAAGCATCATAATCGACTTTGCTCACTTAATTACCAGAATATACATTCAAAAATAAAATAAAATCTATCTTCAAACCGATCTGTTGCTACTATTAAATACATTGTGAAAGTCTTGCAGCGGAGTAGTTGGTTATTGGAGATTGAGGTAAAACTTCAGATGCAATGTGAACACGTTTAATCGGGCAAGTTACAGAGACGAACTGAATTATAATTTAAAGGTCACAAAAATGCAAGTGCAATGTCGGTGGTTGCAACTTCACGTCATGGATGCGCATTGCTATAATTATTTGAAAGGCGTATCGGCGCGAACATGCCCCCGGGCGTTGAAAGCTCGTCTTTCAACAAAATCAGTCTTCATCTTGAGGCAGCTGGCACGTCCCACTGAAGGTGCTCGCTCGACGTTGGTCGCAGTTGTCCAACTCCGTCGCCATTTGAGCCAACATCAACCTTCATATGTAGTGTTGTCAAAATGTTCGGTGTCGCGATGAGCGGGCCGATGAGGAAGGTCTCGGCGGCAGTGGCAGCAGGCTGCTGAGAACTCATAATGTACACGCACAATGTTTAGTCCCTTTACATGGGCAAAAATAGCCTTAAATTCCTATAGCCAGAATTTAACATATTTACCACCTATCTGTCATAAAAGGCATAAGGAATAAGAGAAGACAATATATAATTTAAGTTCAGGGGGTTAAGTCACCAGGTAGCGAATAACTAAAACAAATTAATAAGACTACCGAATTTACTAATTTATACGCGCTTAAGAATAAGGTGATGATATAAGCAAAAAAGTAATGAGATTGAATGTGGATGGCTACAAGGGTAGGGGAAGACCAAAAAAAGTATGGAATGACTGTGTGAAAGAGGATATGCGTAGGAAGGGGGTAGATTCGGATATGACGGCTGATAGAGATGTATGGAGGAGTAGTACATGCTGTGCCGACCCTCGATAGGGATAAGGGCAGGTTGATGATGATACACGCTTACGAATGAGGTTTAGTTAATCCCAATAAAGTTTATATTTACGCTTGCCGCAACGTAGATAATTCAATGAAGTGCTAACAAAAATTAATGACTTGTCTAGTTACTTATGAACTAAATGTGTATGGTGTTGAATGCACAATGAACATGATGTAAAAATCACAAAGACAACTACCTGACGGCTGAATGAGATGACAGGTCTAACGTAATGCACCCTTGAACGGACAGCCACTAGCGGTCACAAATCGATGCGGCAGGCAAATCGGATGTATTGCCTTTCCCTTTAACAGACAAAAATTAAACATAACTATGAAGCTATCCCTTGACTAACGTAAAACTAATTGACCATTAAATCTCATAAAAGGTAAACAGTGAACAAATACTGGAATGTTTACACACACTATAATTCAAAAGACGCAACAATATAAATTGATGAGAATGGAATGTAATAAACGAAATATTTCTTTTAATATGTAAACAATAACTTCTCCAACCCGACATATAATACTTGTCATTGTTTATTATTAATTAAGCTTTAAAACCTTATTCTTTGCAATAATCATATATATATATATATATATATATATATATATATATTTAAACACATTCATCTAATTGTAATAACTTGCTTGTGACAGTTTAATTTTAATTAAAAACCAAAAGAAAATAAAGTTAACGGACGTCATTTTGTAAATCAATTGAGTTAAAATAAAACTATTATTAAATGTTTTTTAATAAATACACTACGAGCATACACAAGTGTACAGCATATCGCTTGTGATGCGTCACAAAAATAATGCAAGTCTGATGAATGATTGCAATGATTGGTGCGAGGAATACACAATTTATGTACTTAATGAAGGCAAGCCTTCTGTATTCTACAGTCTTTCTATTATTACAGAAGTTAACTGGTAGTCCCATGCTGGCTTGTTACGCCAAAATATTGCACATAAATATTGTGTATGTTTGCAAATTAATAAATAACGCAGGGAATTAATAAACCGAGTGATGTAGAATAGTGAAATGACACAAAGTATTCCAAGTTTAGTGAAAATATTTAAGGTGATATTATCTATCTAGAAATGCAATTAATTAATGAGCCTTTGGACTTCATTTGATTTCCACTTCCGCAGTTTCATACCTGCTGAGTTCGATCGACACTATATAACATAAATCCAAAATATGACACTCTCGACAAAAGTAAATATAATTATTTTTATATTTGAAATGACCCTTGAATCTTAATTTAAGACTGAGAGAACAATAATTGGCGTTCCCTGGGGATCCGCCTGAATTATCGGGTGACTGTGGCAACTGTATATTGACACAGCACCAAACGTCTAACTGACGACATGTAAATATGACATAATGTTCACTGAACATTTTCTCAATTTTAGAGAAAGTTGACGATTGATGGCTGACCGACTTGTGGCGCCTAAACCTCTTTAAATGGGTTTGTATGTCGTCAATAAAGGTAAATAAATAATTGTGCAAAATTTTTTTGTTACTTAATCATCACAAAATTATAGTTTAAACTCGGCGCTGAACCCGGTACATGGCCACTGTCATATGCAGGACCTGAACCTAGCTCGCTAAGCTTAGGTTCACATTGCACCGACTCACCGCTACCTAAACGAATTCTAATTGTTTCGTCGCACATTAATGACTTATGGCTGACCTCCTGTAGGCGCCTAAGGGTACCTGACTGTTGATAGACAAATATGTCGAAGGTTGGACTGAGGGTGTGACATTACCCGCTGGCACGTCACTTGGTGTCGCGGGGGTAAGGGGGCGCTCCTCAACGTTCGAACAGATATTGGACTTTGGACTGGGCCTCGGATCTGGAACGTGAAACAAAACATTATGTGGTTTATTACACTCTTTGCAACCATTCGCCTTACAATGATCCGCGTAATGTCCGGAGCGTAAACAATTATAACACACCGTTAATTGAGCCAACAGATCTAATCGTTGTTCATACGTAAGACCTAAAAATATCGGACAATTATATAAATAATGATCAGGATTACAATAAGAACATAAAATTAAATCGTTATTAAATAACGCTGTAATGTGATTATTCTGAATCAAATACCTTTCATTGTGAAATCGGTGACATAAAGCCCAAGCTATTGAGTAATTACTCGCACACAATTCAATAGCTTGTATAACCGCAGCGGCTATCCCTTCAAGTGAATTGCTAAGAAAAATAAATTTATTGAGGTCATCGATATCGTTATTAAAATGAATTAAACTTAACAGTGTCGCGAAATTGTAACCAATTGTTAGATAAGCCGCTAAATTTTATCAAATGTATGGATGGTACTTCAATAAAGGGGTACGGCAGTGCCCACGACGAAGTAGAAAAGTTTTTATTGCACCCGTCAATACAATTGATTGCGCTTATATTGTCGTAGCGTAATATGAAATCTTTCGCCTGTGCGACTACTCTAAAATACACATACTCAAATTGAATTCTCTCATTAATTTGACTATCGATATCATCCGCTAAACATTCTATCTTTAACTGAACCTCATTGTAAGTGTCGTATAAGATATCAAAATTACTTACTTGAATCTTTAATTCGCTAACCTGGGACGGTAATCATGGTTGGTTGGTAATTACTGAACGCTGTAAGACGTTCTTCATAACTTGCCCTTATCTCAATAAGTTCCCTTTCCTCGGACATATTAAACGGGAATAGGCGTGAATCTGAAAAATAACCAACTTGAAGAAAACTAAACAACACAACAAAATAAAATAAAATAATTAAAACTCATTAAACACTGTGCTGTGCCGAGTATGTCCGTGTCCTTTGTTCTCAAGGTGACCTCCAGACGTCCGAACTAATGTCCTCTTCAAATCTCCGTAATTTCCTTTGATTTTGGTAAAATAATAATCTTTGCAATAAATCCAAAATCGCCGATTCGGCTCGAAGCTGATTAGTGAAAGTCTTGTAGCGGAGTAGTTGGTTATTGGAGATTGAGCTAAAACTTCAGATGCAGTGTGACCGCGTTTAATCGGGCAAGTTACAGAGACGAACTGAATTATAATTTAAAGGTCACAAAAATGCAAGTGCAATGTCGGTGGTTGCAACTTCACGTCATCGCTCATTGGCTAATTGATTGGATGCACATTGCTATAATTATTTGAAAGGCGTATCGGCGCGAACATACATTAAACCAAATAAATATTAATATAAATATATAAAACTGTTGTAACGCTATCTTTTAATATATAACTTTAAATAATTGTTCCCTCCCTTAAGTAAATGGAAGCTTTTAAAGCAATATTTTCATTAAACAGCTTCAGAGATGTGTTTTTGACAGCCCTAGGTGTATCAAAGGAATTCAATTATGGTAGGGGCCACCCCTCAGCGCGGCCGCTTTATATTCTTATTGTTTTATTTGCTAAATAATTAGTTATGATTATTTTACGGTGTTTATACTGTAAGTCCTTAGTTTTTACGGCGAATTAACGACTTCCTAAAGATTTACTGATATCGCGGCTTAGTTGCGCGAATAAGAGTTGTCACAAGCTAAAAACTGTACAATTTTTTTAATAAGCATTTTTTAAATATTGTTATTTATATTTAATAATAGGTAATTTCATAAATATTAAGGTGGAAGATAGCAACAGGGTAAAACACCTAGTTGTGGGCTATCACCGTCATAGTACTACTTTGAAATAAAGGCATTTGACATAAAGGCTTAAATTAGATTTTAAAATTACTCCAACTGCGGTCATTCGTTACCCATTCACTGAGCCACGATTTAATATCTCCTTGTAAACAATTGCCAATGCGAGAAAGACATTCGTGATCACTCCAATTATTAGAAGACCTAGCACGGTCTACTTCTTCACACCATGTCTCTATGTCATTAACACTCGGATCAAAATTAGAAATTATATTTCTAATTAAGACTGGTTAGATCTCACCGGTATATTTATAGATCGTATCGCATCGATGATGCGATCGGCGGCGCTGGCCTGGACTGACGTAGCGCTCGCGGGACGCTCCGGTGAGGACGGAGTCGTTGAAGCCTGAAGCGCGCCCTTGAAGCGAGCTCGCAGTCACAGCTTCGCCCAACTGCGACGGCGGCGGCATCGACACGGCAGGCTCAACGGCAGGAACGGGCTCGGCGCTGATGGTTGCCACAGGCACCGCGGACTTGGCTACTTCCACTGCAGCGCGGCCACTCGACTCCTTTCATTGAGATGAAGACACTACCTGTTGTTCCTCTAATGACACCAATCTATTCAAAATTTGTTGCATTGTTTCGGTTAAAATATTGCTAGAAGGGCTACGTCGTCTGTAGCGTGAATCATGTTGGCTAGAATGCGATCTGCGATTTCGCGACCGACTTCTACTCCGCCGCCTCTTATTAGGCATGTTTTCTTTTTTTTTATCAAGTATTTAAAATTAGACGTAATTCCAAGCAGGACATTCAAGTTACGGTAAATAATTGATCAACAAGGGTACACACGACAAAATATTAAAATTGAGCCATTCTAAAATTTACACAAAAAGCTAACAAATACAACTTATATTTGTTATTTTAAAGCGGAGAAGAAAACAATTGGAAAGTACTCACCAAAGTTGACATTATAAAACTTGATCACATCGTCACGTCGCGTCTTATTTACGTATATTATACGAAACACCGAAAACAAAGGGTTAATTTGTCCTTTTAAACAAGGGTAGTTACAATTTCCAAAAATAAGTGTCTGATCGTATGACTAGCCACTTAATAAAATAACAATGGAAACACATCGTATCATGATGTACAAACAAGGACGTGGGAGTTTCACTATCCCACTTCTGATCTTAAGGATCAGAAGCAGGGAAAATTAAAACAACAATCTCTCCTACACTACTACAGTACTTTTTGAATTAATAAGAAAAGTAACAAAATTGAATAAATGTAATTAACACTAAAATTATTTAAAAATACAACATTAACTTAGCTATCAGAGTTAAAATGATTAATTATTTTGGCTAGTCAAACGGGCAGAGCTTCCGCTGGCTTCAGTGTTCGGTGGCGAGTGTGTCCCGAAAATGAGGGTGCGGTCTCTTATATTGGCATCACCCCACCATTATTTTTAAGTTCCACCCTCAGCTAATTATCCAACAATCAAACTTTGTAGCACAGATGTTGCAGCGACATGCAATCAGTAATTCTGAAGCAGATTCCTTCATTTAATAATTCTGTAGAACTTGAAGAGGTGCATTCATTCATCTGCAACAGAATGAAATGGTAATTAATGTCCATGGGTGTCGATGATCACCTCGGTGTTCCCGCCGCTCGTTTGCCCCCTTCTCTTATAAAAAAAAAAAAATAATAATTGATTCAAGTGTACAACATAATCAATTTAATTATTGCTTTTCACCTAATTACATACCTTATTAAAAAAGTGGTTTCTTTGATTATATGGATCTCTTCCCCTTTACTTACAAAACTTCTTTGCAATTCTCTACAATGATGGAACTCACAAACCATGTAATTAAATTATGATTAGTTTTTACAGGTACAGATAGGAACTTTTATTGCCTGCCCATTTTTGTGAAATGTCTATGATAGAATCATAAATCAAATTAGTTTGAAAAACTTGTCATGTCATGACCAATTTACAGTTTGATTTACAATATTTGAAACAATAATAGAGAGATATTCTACACACAACCTAAATAATGTTTAAGTTAATCTTTATTATTGAATCTTTTTCATGTTTCGAGCAAAACATTTTATACTAAATATCAAGCCAATTTAAAAGGTTAAAATTGTTCCAAGTAATTGCTGGAAATATGTGCTTTGGGAATTACTTAATATTTACTACTTGCCATGTAGAATTTGGCATATGTCTTGTACTTATATTATATTACTTTTTTATGTTATTTTCATCAATTTTTGTTGTAAATTTATTTTTTAGCAATCAGCAAAAGGTCATAAGTTCTAGTTCAACATTTAGTTCTTTTAAATATGAATAGAATGTAAAATTTTATCTTTATTAAAATTCTATTTCTGTGAATCCATAGATTATGTTTTCTACTACTTTTTACTTGTTTCACACCTAAAAACAGAAAGTATTAAAAATTGATAAGTTGTTCATACAATTTTCTTCCTTTGTAATTAATTATAACTGTAAAGCTTATTCTTATTATTTAATAAGTTAATATATATAATAATAATAATGTAATATAAATAATAATGTAACTGCTGGTAACTTAGTTTATTTAGAAAAATAAACAATTACAGATATCTTTATTTTTATAAAATCATATATTGTTGATGTTATTCATAATTTTATTATAAACAAACCTAAAGATGTGTACTTTTTAATAATAAATTTCAGTCAATTTGTCATTGGAAAGTGAGTCACAGTCCCATTTTAAAGTCCGACCCAAACACAACAATAAACAAAGTCTTTTAACATTTGAATACTAATTTTATTTGGTGCAACTTTACAATAGCGAATCAAACCAAGTTTTCGTAAAATCAATTTTAAACTTTAGGAAATGATCACCATGAGTATTATTGCTATGAAGATTGCTGAAGATGAATAGAAAATATTTTCGCATTTTCGATGTTTCTTATGGTATTAAAAATGTTCCAAACCTAACCTTTCCAGTTTGCTTTTGGTATTTTATTACATGTTATAAACCTAGCTTTACTTAACTTACCTTATGTAGTTTTCTTCCTTTTTTTTCAACTTAAGTTACGACCCCAAAAAAACTTACAAACCAGTGTAAGAATATTCCCTATCGTTTAAGACATATGTAATGGAAATTTGGCTTGATTCGGTTTTGTGAAGCATTACCTGTTATTTTATTAAGAACTTCTATACAATTTCAAAGCGAACTTTCATTTCATTGACTTTTACTAAGTAATTACGAATATAAAAACATTTAGCAACATTTTAACGTAAATATGGAATAAGATTTATTTACGTACATAAAATATTAAGTGTAGTCATTGATACTTTATTTGATATGTAGTGAGATAGAATAATAGTCAAAACAACAAAAAATACAAAATATAGTACTATTGTATTAAAAAACACAATGTAATTACCACATGGTTCTTGGAAATCTTCTCAGAAGAAAACATCAGCTTTCTAACTCTCAAAATTATAATACACTTCATACCACAATTCACACTGAAACTACAATATCTACTACTTGAAACTACAATATGTACTTACAATGCCTTGCGGGTTCAGTACAACAATGGGTTCAGGGCTCTGTTGGGGCTGCCGCGCTTCTGCAGCGCGTCTGGGATGTCTGCTGATGCTGGTGTTGACGGCTTCGCCGCATTGATCAGGAAGAGAGCAGCATCCCTGATGCGGCGGGTGTGGGACAGCACCAACAGCTACCTGCAACTCATTGTTGATAGAGTGGGATTGGACTGTCCAGTGCTGGCCATGTGGACACGTCTACATGTGCCCTAAAGAATTTTGTTTTATTTTATTTTTGTGCTAGTGTGTTTAATTTGTATTTTTGTTTTGTATGGACCATGTGTCTGAATTAAAGATTTATTATTATTAATATTCTTATCAAATAGGGTTAGATTTAAAATATAATAATATTATAAAAAAAATTCTTATAAAGACAAAGGCTAAAATTGGATTTTAAAATTACTCCAACTGCGGTCATTCGTTACCCATTCACTGAGCCACGATTTAGCATCTCCTTGTAAACAATTTTTAAAACAATTGCCAATGCCAGAAAGACATTCGTGATCACTCCAATTATTAGAAGACCTAGCACGGTCTACTTCTTCACACCATGTCTCTATGCCATTAACACTCGGATCAAAATTAGAAATATAATAAGACTGGTTAGATCTCACCGGTATATTTATGGATCGTATCGCAGCAATGATGCGATCGGCGGCGCTGGCCTGGACTGACGTAGCGCTCGCGGGACGCTCCGGTGAGGATGGAGTCGTTGAAGCCTGAAGCGCGCCCTTGAAGCGAGCTCGCAGTCACAGCTTCGCCCAACTGCGACGGCATCGACACGGCAGGCTCAACGGCAGGAACGCGCTCGGCGCTGATGGTTGCCACAGGCACCGTGGACTTGGCTACTTCCACTGCAGCGCGGCCACTAGACTCCATTCGTTGAGATGAAGACACTACCTGTTGTTCCTCTAATGACACCAATCTATTCAAAATTTCTTGCATTGTTTCGGTTAAAATATTGCTAGAAGGGCTACGTCATATGTAGCGTGAATCATGTTGGCTAGAATGCGGTCTGCGATTTCGCGATCGACTCCTACTCTGCCGCTTCTTATTAGGCATGTTTTCTTTTTTTAGCAAGTATTTAAAATTAGACGTAATTCCAAGCAGGGCATTCAAGTTACGGTAAATAATTGATCAATAGGGTAGACACGACAAAATATTAAAATTGAGCCATTCTAAAATTTACACAAAAAGCTAACAAATACAACTTATATTTGTTATTTTAAACCGGAGAAGAAAACAATTGGA